GGCTTAAGCAATCCTCCCATCTCAGCCTCCTGAGTAGCTGGAATCACAGGCACATGCCACCACACCTGGCTTTTTTTTTTTTTTTTTTGAGACAGAGTCTCGCTCTGTCGCCGAGTCTGGAGTGCAGGGGCGCCATCTCGGCTCACTGCAAGCTCCGCCTCCCGGGTTCACGCCATTCTCCTGCCTCAGCCTCCGAGTAGCTGGGACTACAGGCGCCTGCCACCACGCCCGGCTAATTTTTTTGTATTTTTAGTAGAGACGGGGTTTCACCATGGTCTCGATCTCCTGACCTCGTGATCCACCCGCCTCGGCCTCCCAAAGTGCTGGGATTACGGGCGTGAGCCACCGCGCCCAGCTTGGAAAGCTTTTTTGAACCAGTCAAAATAATCTAAGACAGACTCATCTTTTATTTGAGTGAATCGTTCAATGGCTTTCCAATTAATTTGCCAGAGGAAAAGCACTGGAATGACCTTCAACAAATCACAGGTTATTTTCTTTGCTTTTGTTACGGCCATGTCCCTTTTGAAATGGAAGTCCTCTAGAGGTTTTATCCATTTAGTTAGGCATATACATGTTTGAGCTACAACAATGACCCCTAGCATGTGAATTAATTGATAGATTTTGGTGAGTCTGTGCTAGTACGCACTTACGATGAAACCAAAGTGGCATTCAAATTCAAGGAAGTCAGTTTTAGGACAATCGCCAAGAGTTCAGATTTAGACTAAGGAATGTAAGATATGGTCTAACCTCCCTCTGCATTTTCACTGATTTTAAATGGGGCAATAAGAGGAGTTGAGGGGTTATGGGTAGTGTGCCTGGGATAGACAGTGAGGAGAAAAAAGGAAGTTCAGAAAGTGAAGAAGGTAGTGGCAGAGGAGAATAAAGTAGAGGTGGTGCAGAGGGAGTGAAAGGAAGAGGAACAAAGGGTTTGAGTCCTTCTTGGGAATATAATCTGGGTTAGGAGGATTTTCAAGTTTTTGGAGGCACTAACTGAGTTCAGAATTAGTTTCTCTCAAGAAGGCAATCTGAAATTCCTGATTGCATTTGTAGTTTTCATAGTATCTATTAAAGAAAGCCTTGTATTGTCTTTGAGAGACCTAGATTCCTCTGTTCTAATTGCATGCATAAATAAATTTGATTAGGGATACAGAAAGTTCCCCAATTTAGTCAAAAGAGTTTTAAATCACCCTGGGTTAATTTTATCCAGAGCCTTAAATAGGCACAAGAATGTTCTCCACAGGTTTTAAATATAAAATTCATTGGTGCACCATCAGGTGGCTGGTTGGAGACCATTACCTTAGAACATGGGTTACCCACAGCACTGTGACAAAGGCATCCCTTTGAGTGCAACAGAGCATGAGTGTCCCCACGAAACTTGCAATGTGAGCATACTCCACCAAGCACAAGTACATTGCAAAATGCAAAAGTACTCCACAAAGTGTGAGTGTACCCCGTAGGGCCCATAGAGCCAGGTGAATGTGCTCCTTGGAGAAAACAAAGTATCGGAGATCTCAACCTAAAAGCAGGAGATCTGCAGATGGGGAAACATAGCCTCCAATGTAAACTAAGTGTGCTCCAAAGAACAAACAGTGGGTCTGACTTAAATAGGGAAAGTTCTCCTCCCAGCCCTTAATCAAGTCTGTGTATGCAAATAAATAACTCAAAAGTAGTCCCCATTAGTTGAAAACAGCTGAGTCCTGATTGGGTCGTTTCCAAGTCCCAACCAGAAGTCTCTGTTGGATGTCACTTTCAGAAAGGCAGCTGGCAAGTTTTCCTGCCATTGTGCATGTTACTCTTCAAAAAGACAACTGCCTAAGCTTCAAGATTTAAAGGAAACACCCTGTAGAAATAAGCCCAAGGGTCTTCTCAGGCTATGTTCTAGGCCCAATTTACCTCCAATCCTTTTTCTCCTTGAAATAATTTCTTCTCACAGCCTGTCTTCTGTATATATCCAGGCAGGGCAAAGCACAAATATAAGCTAAGGTGATATTTTAAATAGGGAATACACAAAACATTAGAAGGAGATAGAGTGAGCAATTATCTTAACAATGGTATGATGGTAGGAGAAAAAAGGGGAGTTTTGAGAAATAACCTCTCCTATACATGCCTGCCTAAGTGTAAGTTATCTGTAGTACTTTATTGTGCTAATGTGTAATTTTACATTTAAATGGTTCAGTGGAATAATTCAATAGATTGTAGATCAAGGCTTCAGGCTTTATCACCTCTAATTTACAAGTCATGCTTGCTAATGGGGGTTAACTGCTTGCAGCTTCCAGGGGACCCTGGAGGGCCCTGGTTTTTTGAGAACCACAGTTCGTAAAGAGCCCAAGTTCCAGTGATTTTGTTTTTTTTTTTTTGAGATGGAATCTTGCTCTGTTGCCCAGGCTAGAGTGCAGTGGCACAATCTTGGCTGACTGCAACCTCCACCTCCCAAGTACAAGCAATTCTCCTGCCTCAGCCTCCCAAGTAGCTGGGATTACAGGCGCTCACTAGCGTGCCTGGCTAATTTTTGTATTTTTAGTAGAGACAGGGTTTCACCATGTTGGCCAGGCTGGTCTCGAACTCCTGACCTTGTGATCCACCCGCTTCAGCCTCCCAAAGTGCTGTGATTACAAGTGTGAGTCACTGCACCCAGCCAGTTAGAGTGATTTTCTAAAAGCCACTTTTGATGCACCTGTAGGCCCAGCTACTTGGGAAGCGGAGGCGGAGACAGGAGTGATCTCAGACCAAACTGAGGGTGGGCCTACTATTTTTCGTGACTTAATAACAAGATGCAAACAAACTGGGGAGGAAGAGAGTTTTTTATTTCTGTAACTGTTTACAGGGAGAAGGCCTGGAAATTATCACCAGACCAACTCAAAATCACGATGATTTCCAGAGCTTATATACCTTCTAAGCTATATGTCTACATGTAAGTGTGCATTCATCTAAAGACATCAGTGATTAACTTTTTAAAATCTATAAATAAGGTCTGAATCTTGAAGACCTTCCTCTGGAACCTCAGTAAATTTACTTAATCTAAATGGGTCCAGCAAGGTGCAGTGGCTCATGCCTGTAATCCCAGCACTTTGGGAGGCCGAGGCGGGCAGATCACAAGGTCAGGAGTTCGAGACCATCCTGGCTAACACAGTGAAACCCCGTCGCTACTAAAAATACAACAAATTAGCTGAGCGTGGTGGTGGGCGCCTGTATTCCCAGCTACTCCAGAGGCTGAGGCAGGAGAATGGCGTGAACCCAGGAGGTGGAGCTTGCTGTGAGCCGTGATCATGCCACTGTACTCCAGTCTGGGTGAGAGAGCGAGACTCGTCTCAAAAAAAAAAAAAAAAAAAAACCTAAATGAGTCCAGGTGCTGGCGTGATTACCCTTATCTTGCCTCCTGCTAAATCACAGAGGTTTGGAGAGTTCCTTCCACTCCCAACAAACTTGTTTGTGGAGCCCTGGGGGAGTTTCTTCAGACCTACAATAAAACTTGTTTAATCCTGAATGGGTCAATAATTCCTTTGTTATTTTGTCATGTTTTAAGGTCCAGGAAAGGCCTAGGCAAAACTCTTGGTGGGCTTTAGTTACATTCCAGCCTTTGTATAAGGGCACTGACTTTTTTTAGCTTTTAATACTAACTTCACCACTCAGTACTGAAACAGTTGTTATGGAGGCCTTCGTTAGTGAGACATGGCCTGCCATAGGAGGACTGCTTGAGCCCAGGAGTTAGAATCAAGCCTGGGCAACAGAGCAAGACCCCATACCTTATAAGATGCCTTTTATTTTTAGTTTTTTAAAAATTTTTTCGAGATGGGGTCTCAATGTCGTCCAGGCTGCAGTGCAGTGGTGTGATCATGGCTCACTGTAGCCTCAGTTTTCTGACTAGCTAGGACCACAGGTGGGTGCTCCCACCCCTGGCTAATTACATTTTTTTGTTTGTTTGAGACAGGGTCTCATTCTGTGTCACCCAGGCTGGAGTGCAATGGCAGGATCTTGGACTCACTGCAACCTTTGCCTCCTGGGCTCAAGCAATTCTCCTGCCTCAGCCTCCTGAGTAGCTGGGATTACAGGCACCTGCCACCATGCCTGGCTTTTTGTATTTTTAGGAGAGACAGGGTTTCACCATGTTGCCCAGGCTGGTCTGGAACTCCTGACCTCAAGTAATATACCTGCCTTGGCCTTCCAAAATGCTGGGATTACATACTTGACCATTGGCACCTGGCCTAAAAAATAATATTTTTAAGAGACAAGGGTTTTGCTATGTTGCCCAGGCTAGTCTTAAACTCCTGGGCTCAAGCGATTCTTCCCAGTAGCTTGGGATTACAGCCACTGTGCCTGGCAAGGCACTTTTATTTCTGATATTCCCTTAGCCAACTCGAAGTAAAACCATCTCTTAAATGTATCTTGACAAAACTTGGCAGCAAACAAAAAAATCTCAAACTTGTCTGTCATTAAAAGATTGTGGTACCCACGCAATGACACCAACACAGTACTTAGGGTATGGTGTTTTTTTACCCACCAGTTTTGAAAAAGTTAATTACATTTGGCAATTCCCCATTCCCTTATAGTGAGGGGTCTCAGGAGCTGGCTCCTACACATAAAGGGGCTTAGAAGAGTGGCTGGCACCTAGGCCACCAATAGACTTTTGCCCCACCCAACCGGTGACACAGCCCGGGGCCCCTCCGCCCCCTGGCGGCCATTACGGATTTCCGCCTCCCTCACAGAAGGCAGCCGCTGCAACGTGCGTGGCCTCAGTTGCGTCACATCCGGCCCTTGCGATCAGGGCTTGAGGAACCCGCGCCATGAAGTGCGTGTTCGTTACCGTAGGGACCACCAGCTTTGACGACCTCATTGCGTGTGTGTCGGCGCCCGACAGTCTGCAAGTGAGTGAGGGAGGCGAGCAGGCGGCGGCTTGGCTCGCCACCCGCCGTCTCCGGCCTTACTAAGCCAGCCGCAGTAGCCTTGCCTGACCGTCACGCTCGGAAAGAAACCCCCGCAACTCTACCACAGGTGCCGCTGCCCCTTAGCTGGCTCCTGCCTACGCCCGGCGGGGCCCTTCGGCTACCCAGCTACTCGGGGTCGCATGTTTCCTCTTCCCATTTACCCAGGCCGTTCCTTTCCCTCATTTCTTCGTCTCCTTTCCCGGGCTTCCCCCGCGCTGTATTCTCCGCCTCCGCGTCCTCCGCCCCTCCTTCCAACGGCTCCGCCCCTCCGAGCCCGGGTTTTCCACCGGGCTAGGCAGTTTCTCCTCAGCCCCCCTGTGGACCGCGCGTCGGCGCCGGCGTCTCAGTCAGCCGAGCTCGCCTCAGAGCCCGGCTCCTTCCCCTCAGCGCTTGACCGGAGCCCGCGCGGTTCCCCTCAGCGCGCGTGGTCCCCTCAGGGCTCCCGGTTCTCGCAGTTCAGCAAGTGAGGCAGAACGGGTAGTCCCTGGGTTCCCCCCGAGTGTGCGACTCCTTTTCCAAAGTCTTTTCCTGCTGTGGCTTTCGCGGGACTCTGCGAGCTGGGTCGCTTAGATTCACGAGTGCTCGGGAGGTTCCTCGTCGGGCCCCGGACCGGAGAATACGTTAGTTTTGAAAACTAAGTGAAATTGGCCACAGGTAGGCTCTTTGGCGGCCGTGCTCCGGTCTTAACGTCAAACTTGAGTAGTGATGGTGGTTCCTGCTCTGTTTTACATAGCCAGTTTAAAAGGCCCTCGTGTTCTGATTTCCTCTTTCAGAAAATCGAGAGCCTCGGTTACAACCGACTTATCCTGCAAATTGGTAGAGGAACGGTGGTACCTGAACCCTTCAGTACTGAGTCGTTTACTCTGGATGTTTACAGGTACAAGGATTCCTTGAAAGAAGACATCCAGAAAGCAGATCTTGTTATTAGTCACGCAGGTAAAGGTGCCTTAGAATCTCAGGGTTGGGTCTTTTAATTTAATTTTTTTTTTTTTTTTAAAGTTCTGGGGTATTCTGGGGCACATATGCAGGATGTGCGGGTTTGTTAACAAAGGTAAACGTGTACCGTGCATCATCTAGGTATTAAGCCCAGCATCCATTAGCTTTTTATCCTGATGCTCTCCCTCCAATAAGGAACTGACGCTTGAACCTTTTCGAGGTAAAATAAAATCGCTAGCTGAACTCACTGTAGCCCTTTTTGAATACACAACTTATTTGAATATGATAATTGAGAACTTTATTGGAGAGAACTTAGTATTTTGGGGTGAGAGAAGAATGGGAAATTAATCACTGTAGCCCATCTTTACAATAAAAAACCCTAAACACTGAGGGGCAAAATAATTCACCCGGTGAAGTGTAATAAATTGTCAACTTGACATTAGTACTTGGGCTTAGCTAAAGGAGTGTTCTGCCTGCTGATTGGTTGGATTGGTCATGGAGTAAGTGGAATTGTAAGATTGTTTACACTTCTGTTGAATGTGAGTGAAATGAATCCAGTCAAAAATAGTAACAGCTACATACTGAGTAAATTGTTTCCTCTTCAGAGGACCGCCCTGATGGGCTACTTAATTAGACTTCTAGTGCATTCAGAAGAACTGCTTTTGGGGAGCAATGCAGTTTTGACTTGTTAAAGAAGGTTTATTTTTATTTATTATTTTTTTAAGTCTAGTTTGAGGAGAGAAAAGTCTTTAGAAATAGACATTACCAAAAGATTGGTGATTAAAAAATGTATCTCCTAGGAGGTTACAGCCTTTGGCACTGCTCTGAATGCTTTGTGTATATTAACTTTACTCTTTTAAACAATCCTGTGAACTAAGTACTGTTAGTATCTCCATTTTACACGAGGAAACTGAGACACAAGAGTGGTTAAGTAATTTGTCCAGCCAGGAAGTGGTGGACAGATAACAATCTGGTGCTGGAGTTTATGTTCTTTTTTTCTTTTCTTTTCCTTTTTTTTTTTTGGAGGCAGAGTTTCGCTCTGTTGCCCAGGCTGGAGTGCAATGGCGCTATCTCGCCTCACTGCAACCTCCGCCTCCCAGGTTCAAGCGATTCTCCTGTCTCAGCCTCACGAGTAGCTGGGATTACAGGCGAACACTACCACGCCCGGCTAATTTTTTTTTTTTTTTTTTGTATTTATTAGAGACGGGGTTTCACCGTGTTGCCCAGGCTCGTCTCAAACTCCTGAGCTCGGGCGATCCACCCGCCTTGGCCTCCCAAAATGCTAGGATTATAGGCATGAGCCACTGTGCCCCTCCGGAGTTAATGTTCTTAACTAACCACCCTAGCGTAAGATACCCAAAAAGGATTTATCTATTCACGCATCAATCTCTTTGCTCTCATTTAAAATAGCTAGATGGTTTTACATTTCAGAATTTAATTGATCCTAATATTTTATATTTGCATATTTATGGAAATCCATTCTTGACTGTTTCTGGGATAGCACTTCACATGTAAACCCATACAAAGTGGTTAAGGTTTTTCGTTATTGATGCCTGCCTGTCTCTATTGTAGGCTTGCTTTTCTACCTGGGGTTGAATAGAAATGAAATATAATTTCACATACAGTATGTGAAACCTCGATCTTACCTGCATTGAAGGCCATGCCCAAAGCATACTCCAGATGGCCCAACGTACAATGGTTTCACTTAGTTTTTCAACTTTATGGTGGTGTGAAAGCAATACACATACGCATTCAGTAGAAACTGCTCTGCGAGTACCCATACAACCATTCTGTTCTACACTTGCAGTATTCAATAAATGGCATGAGATATTCAACACTTTATCATAAAATAGATTTTGTGTTCGATGATTTTGCCCAACCACAGGCTAATATAAGTGTGTTCTGAGCACGTTTAAGGTAGGCTAGGCTAAGCTGTCATGTGTGGTGGTTAGGTGTATTAAATGCATTTTCTACTTAGAATATTTTCAACCGCTTTATTTTTTTTTTCCTTTTTTTGAGGTGGGTTCTCTGTCACCCAGGATGGGGTACAGTGGTGCAATCATAGCTCACTGCAAGATCTAACTCTTGGGCTCAAGCAGCCCTCCTGCCTCAGGCTCCCCAGTAGCTGGGACCACAGCCACCATGCCTTATTAATTATTTTTCTTTTTCTTTTTCTTTTTTAGCAGAGACAGGGTCTCTCTATGTTGCTGAGAGTGGTCTTGAACTCCTGGGCTCAAGCGATCCTCCCACCTCGGCCTCCCAAAGCGTTGGGATTGTAGGCATCAGCCACTGCACCCAGCCTGTTTTCAACTTATGATGTGGTTATACCCCATCATAAGTCGAGGGTCATTGGTACTAGAGAGCAAGTAGCATAGCACTGAATCATAGGCCATAATGTCATCATCAGTGATAAAATAATGTATTTTTCAAATAGTTTCTAACACTTTTTATTAGGGAGCAACTGATAACTATACTCTTGTCATTTTGAATGTATAATTGAAAGACCTAGCTTGTAGTTCTGTCAACTTAAGTTTTTTAACTTTTGAGTTCTAGCTATAAAACTTCGTGGGGACCTTAACTTATTTTAAATTGTGTTAAACAAATTTAATTTATATTTGTAGGTGCAGGAAGCTGTTTGGAGGCTCTGGAAAAAGGAAAGCCACTCGTAGTGGTCATAAACGAAAAGTTGATGAACAATCATCAGCTGGAACTGGCAAAGCAGCTACACAAAGAGGGTCATCTCTTTTATTGTACCTGCAGGTATACTAGAGACTGATTATTTTTGATCTTTTGCTTTGATTCGTCCCTTGCTGTTCCTCTTATCCACCTACCTACCTCATCTGTCTCTTCTGCCTCTTACCTTCTCCCACTTACCAAACTTTTTGATTTTCTCAGCTCTAAAACACTCCCATTTGTTTGTCTCCCACTTTGCAATCTCTGTGTTGTATTTCTATGTGTATCTGTGGCTGTTTCTTTGCATATGTGAATATCTGAGAGAGAGAGTGTGTGTGTGTTTAGACGCGCATGTCTCTGAGACACTAATTTTGGAGTTCTACATTTTGAGTTCATTATTTAGATTTTCATTATTCAAGGAAGACATTTGCTTATTTTAGTTAAAAGTTTTGCTTATAGTAAATCCACTAGAATCCGTAAATTATGTTTACTCTTTCATTTAATCAGTTACACCGAATATATAAAAGACACTGTTTTAGGTGCTGTGGATACAGTAGTAAACATGAGATAAAGTCCCTGTTCTCATGGTGCTTACATTCTGGTCGTGGAAAATTGATAGTAAACAAGTTCACAAATAAATGATCAAGGTATTTCACATGGTGAAATGTACTATGAAGAAAGTAAGACAGGGTGATGGGGTAACTGGGGTGAAGACTGATTAGAATTGTCAGAGAAGGCTTGGCAGAGTACCTAACATTTTGATCTTAGACTCGAAATACAAGGAAGAGCCAATCATATGAAGATTTAGAGGCAGAAGGAACAGCAAGTGCAAAAGCCTAAGTAAGGAATGAACTTGGAGCTTGGTGTGCTTGAGGAACAGAGGGAAGATTAGTGTTGCCAGAGCATAGTGAGCAATATAGCAATATAATAGAAGATGAAGCTGGGTGGGGGTAGCTTATGTAAGAGTTCTGATTTTATTGATGTTTATTGAGAAGCCATTGAAGTATTTTAAGCAGAGAAATTATGGTAAGGAGTATTATTTTCTACAAGTATATTAGAATTCAACAGGAACTGATCATCGTAATAGAAGGATGAAGAAAATTGCTTGTTTGTTTTCTATTAGTTCTTCTTTGAGACACTAGAAGCTTGCCAAAGGGCCAGGTCAGTAATTCCCAATTGTTTGACTTTAAAACCTATCCTAGTTTGATGTTTCAAGAAGTAAATGCCTCATAGAATTACTATATATGTGTATATATATGTTTATTTACGTTATAGTAAAATGAAATTAATTTTAAAATAAAAAACCTGAGAAGAAACTGGCTAGAGCATAAGCTTTTCTTTTAGTTTTACTGCTTCTGTCTCTTAGGCAGTCAGTAAATACTTATTCATTCATTAAATATTTATTGAGTACCTTCTATGTGCCAGGCATTGTTCTAGGCACTTGGTATACATCAGTGAACAAAACAGACAAAGACTCCTGTTCTTATTGAGAGGAGGAAGATTCATTGATTATTTCAGGAGTAAAATTGTTGGTGTCATTATCACTATAATGTTGGAGAAGAGGGAATGTCAGGGTAGCTGTGTAATACAGAAGCCAGTCTTGAACTATTTAGTGAGTCAGGAGAGAAGCTAGATTAAAGAGGAATAAACTTAATTTCCTAACTGATTTATGCAAGTCAATTTTTTCCAGATACTTTTAATTAGTATTTTCATTCTAAATGTTAAATTAGCTTTGATTTTATGTTAGCACATTAAAAGGAAAACATTGATTTCATAAACATATCCTGATTTTTTACTCATGCTGAAAAGGAAGGAAACTGTACAAGTCTCCAATTTCTTTTATTTTTTTTACAGTTTTAAATGGCTTTTTTTCTATATTAATTTCAAGAAAGTCACATAAAAGTAGTAAGCAGTAAGTCAATAATTGGTTATATTTTCTTTTCTTTTCCTTTTTTTTTTTGAATTTCGCTCTTGTTGCCCAGGCTGGAGTGCAATGGTGCAATCTCGGCTCGCCGCAACCTCCACCTCCCGCCTTCAAGCGATTCTCCTGAGTAGCCAGGATTACAGGCATGCGCCACCATGCCCGGCCTAATTTTGTATTTTTAGTAGAGATGGGGTTTCTCTGTTGGTCAGGCTGATCTCAAACTCCTGACCTTAGGTGATCTGCCTGCCTCGGCCTCCCAAAGTGCTGGGATTACAGGCATGAGCCACCGCGTCCAGCCAGTAATTGGTTATATTTCCATTTTTGGTAAATCATTTATTTTCCCCAAACCTAGGCTGGGGGGTGGTATGTATGTTCTAATTTAAGCGATTGGTTTAAATAAATTTCTGAAGTAATAGTTCTATGTTTAAAAGCTTATTTCTAGCATACATGGTGGTGTGGTATATTGTTTAATTATATATGAAGTCATGATAGTAAATTACTGGCAAAGATTATTTCACAATCTTCATGCGTGGTCTGGTAGTTTCCCCAGCTTATTATCTTGTCTAGCAGCTATTATTTTTGGTTTCAATTTTTAAATTCTGTTTTCATGAATGAATTGTGCTTCAGTTTAAATATGCCCAGTCCTGAGAAGTATTACAAAGCCATGTGAAGACATTTTTCATGAAATATCATTTCTGAAATAGTTGACATAGGAGATAAGGTATCTGCTGAATTTATATTGACATTTTATAGTACTCTTTGTATTGCTTTAATAATCCTAGTATGTATACTTATAATATTAAAATATATACAAATTCGCATGTGCAGTTCTTAGAAGTACCACTATATTCTTGGAAGTTAGATTCAGTCATCAGTGGGCAGCAGATAAAGTATGGAATTTTCTCCCATGTTGCCTAATATTTTTCTTCTTTTGTTTTAGCACGCTTCCTGGGCTGTTACAGTCAATGGACTTATCAACACTGAAATGTTATCCTCCTGGCCAGCCAGAAAAATTTTCTGCATTTTTGGATAAAGTTGTTGGATTACAAAAATAAACACTAAACTCTCAACACTTTAAAAGCAACCCCCAAATTCAACCTATGGAATGTGATTAAATCAAATTAAATACATAATATATATATTTACAAAATAATATAATTAATAAACTTCCTACATCTATAGAATGTATAGGAAATTTTATGGTGTGCACATTTGCATTGGGTCCAAATCCTAATTGCAGTTTAGTAAACTTTCTAGATTTTTTCTAATCTTCAGTATGTAGTAAGCATTCACAGATTTTCTCCTAGAATCTCCAGTGGAATTGGAATCATGAAAATGAATGAGATTTGAAAACTTTCACAAAGATTATAAATGTAGTTTGATGTTCCTTAGAATAAAAAATGAAACAGTAACAACTTAAAAAAAATTTTACGTAAGAGTCAGCATCTTTAGCTTTATAATCTAAGGAACCAAATTAAAAAAATGATGGATTACGCTCTGTGAAATGAAAAGACTATCAAGTTAGTTGATCTCTTGTACTGGGAAAAGCTACTTTTTTCCTAAAGAACACAGTGGAGTGGATATGTTCACTTTTTTTTTCTAAAACTATATACAAAGTGTTAAAAGAATCGTGCCTAATGTCAAAACTTTACTGGTTTGAGAAGAACAATCAAAAAGGATTTATACCAATAGGACTTACTATTGTTTTTTAAGGATCCCCTCTCACGGTGGTAATGAAACATTAACTGTAACAAATTTATAATTTATGTGCTTATGAAATTAGTTTTATGAATGAACAATAAACTGATGCATATAATGGCTTAAATATATGGTTTTAAAATTGACTTAACTTGAGCAAGATACATTATGAAGTTCTTTGATCAGAGTGTGTGGTCTCAAGACCTTTACAATAGATTATCCTTAAGTGTCCATAGCTCTCTGATACAGTGTTTAGATATAGTTTATCTATCAAAATAGAACATTCACTATGAAGACCTCCCTTCCATTCCAGTCATATTATCCCAAAATGCTAAATGTTCCAAACATTTTATTTGGAATGCATTTTATGTTTTTATAGGTTTATTTTTCTGATTGTGTTTTATGTAGGCTAATATTTAAAAAATGCTTACTAGTGGTAGAAGGTGGTGACAAAGAAATACTCTGGGTAGCAGGAGGAAGCCAACTTGGATTAAAATTTTGCTGAGAATAATCTAAAAAGTGAGTAATCTGGTTGAGAATTCACAGCACCATAATCATAATTGCATATCGGTGTTATACTAATGTTTTAGGAAAGGTCCTATTCAGGGAGAGAATCTTTAGTGTTTTCTGGGCCCTCATAAATATGTTTTTCTCATTTGAGAAAATTGTGACTCAAAGTTTATGTTGGTCACTTAGTTTATAGTTTATGATGAAGAATTAAAGAGAAACAAATGAAAGGCAAGGTCTACTCAAATATCAGACAACTAAAAGCCTATACAGCCCCTAAATCCTTTGCTATCTACTTTCCCAGAATAATGCATAACCTAAATTCCATTATTTCATTTAGCAGAGGCTTAAGCCATTGTTGTCAATTGTGTGCAGTAACATCTCTGACTACGCTTTTGTGGAATTTTGTGTCAATTTGGATTTTTAAGTCAAAGGAGACTTTAGAATCATTTTGATTTGGCAGGGATTCTTGAAATTATCTAGTCCAATTCCATCATATTCAGATTTTGCCATTTGCTTAAAGTAATACCTTTTGGCAGAACTGCCCCTAGGAGCAGCTCCTTGATTCCCAGTCCCCTGCTCTTTCTACCATATATAATGTATGTTGTAAGCTTTTTGTTTCTTTATAGTGGTTTGCCTAGTATTCATTTTAGTTACTTGAATCCTTGAATCCCTTGCAAGGTAGGTTTTGTTTGTTTGTTTATGAAAGTTATTTAGTAGGAATTTCACACTTAACTGGGTTTTCCTTTGGCGTATGACAACCTTACCTAGGACTTAGAAATCTGTGATTTCTGAGTTTTTGGAATTTAGGAAAATGCTCTGGGTAGGATTGATAGTAGATTGAATAAATTAAGACTTTAAGACATAATTGTAGACTTTGGAGTTGGGAGGTAATCTAAAGAATATTTTAAACCACCAGTTTTACAGGAGGAAACATGCTAAATTAATCACCACATTT